ACAAGCCCGGGGCCACGTGGGTCTCCTGTGGCGTCCCCGAGGCCGGCCGGGAGCTGCCCAGCTGCAAGCGTGGGGCTGGGGCCATTTACTTGGCGTTGGTCACGGTCAGTTTGGCTGATGACCTGAGGTTGCAGCAATGCCCAGGAGAAAGGGGATGGGGCTACGGAGACCAGGCAGGGCCACACTTGAAGTCCTCCAAACCCATCTGGAGGAGATGCCCTTTGGGCAGGCAAAGGAATCAAGAGAAACAGGAGGCGCCACCCGGCAGGTGTGCCCGCCAGCAGGACCGGACTGGCTGCTGTCCTAACCCAGCCGGGCGGTTTCTGTGCCCGCCAGCACATCTAATTCCCTCCTAACTGCATCCACCCCCACTACGGTCTTAGACCACCCTGGGGGTCTCGGAAACTACTGCCAGGGACGAGCCAGGGAGCCGCCAGCTTTGGAAAACAAGGCTGGGCAGGTGGTTCTGTTCTCACTGGGGCCCTTCCCGCCCTGTTCCTGCGGGGAACTTGGGAGAGAACAGTGCTGGTTCGGGCCTCACAGCTCCTGAAGTCAGGGCAACAAGACACGATGCGTTCACGGCTGCACTGAGAAATCAGCTCCCACACACCCGCGTCACTGAGGTCGGCGCACCGGGCAAGCGGCACAGCCCGGCCCAGCCCCACCAGCCTGCTCGCCGGAACCACGGCCCTGCCCGGCCCAGGGTGCAGCTGAGCCTGGGCTGTGCACCTGGGTAAACCGCGTTTCTGCACAGCTTGGGTGCCCACAACGGCCTGCCTCTGACACCTTCAGGGTGCGAGTGTGGTGGGCGGGCCAGGAGCCCCTTCTCACCTTCTCGCCTTTCTCTTATTCTATTCTATTTTTTTTAAAGATTTGCTTATTTGAAAGTCAGAGTTACAGAGATAGAGAGGAGAGACAGAGAGGTCTTCCATCCACTGTTTCACTCCCCAGATGGCTGCAACACCAGGGTTGGGCCAGGTTGAAACCAGGAGCCAGGAGTTTCGTCCAGGTCTCCAAGCAGGTGCAGGGCCCCAGGACCTGGCCTTTCTCCAGTGCTTTCCCAAGCCCAGGGAGCCGGGTCAGAAGCTGAGCAGCCAGGACTCACCGTGTCCATGTGGGATGCTGGAATGGCAGGTGGAAGCTGGACCAGCAGGCGGGGCCCCTGAGTCTGTTCTTTGAGTCATTCAGAGTCCAGTGGATGCTTGGCCAGGTGTGAGCTCCTCAGGGCCTTGCGGTGCCTGCTCTGAGCTCCAGGCCTGGGCCCACAGTCATCAGAAAGAGACCCAGCGTCTCTCATCGCAACCCTTACACCCCAAGGCCTGTCTCTCTGCTCCGCCTGCTCTCCAGACCCCGCCCCCAGCACATGGAAATCTGCAGGCGTGAATGCGCCAGGCTCCGTTGATGTCACGGCTTCGCGAGTGGCTTTTCGTGGGCCTGGACTGCACCCTCTCTGGCCCACTACCCATCCTGATTCAACCCAGGAGTCCTCCGGGTCCTGCCAGCCCCGCTCCTGAGACGGCAGCTGCCTCAGGGCCACCAGTGTGTCTGGCACGCACTTTACTGTGGCGCGCTTCGCACTGTGTGGCCGGCAAACGCGTGGCCCAAGCAGCTCCCACACTTGCAGCCGCCGTGCTGTGCTTCCATACGTGTCACTGTCAACATGCACACAAACTCCTTCCCAAGACTCCAAGACTCTGACGGGCATAAAATCCCAGCCTGCAACACCCAGCGGCACCTGCCGACTGCCTCCCGCTGCCTTCGGCTCCCCAGGGTCTCCTCTCCAGGAAGTCCTGACTTCCACTCTGAGTGGCTCCTTGCACTCCCAACCTGTGCTCACCAAGCTTCCCAGCTCTGCGGGCTGACCCAGCACCGGGGGCAGCAGTGGGGAGGCAACGGGCCCTCCGCTTGAGGTTCCGCCACCTGGCCTCGTGGGCCCGAGAGGCTGAGGTCCAGCCCCTGCTCCGGGGGCTCAGGTTTATGGAAGACGTGAGCACGTGCAGGCGGAGGGCTGAGACCTGAGGTCTGAGCAAAGACGCCTTCTCTGTAGGGGTGAAGGGCGGATTCTGTCTCCCCGGAATTCCTACGCATGGCCTGTGCCAAGGCCCTGAGGTAGAGCGGGGCCTCCTCTAAGGTCTGACCCCCCCAAGTGGCCAAGGGCACCAGGCAACACTGGTTCTGGGCTGTCTGTGGGAAGCAGGAGTGAGGCTCACAGCAATGAGGAGGGAGGAAGAGGCCCTGCCCTTATCCGGCTGCCGCTGCGTGGACCAGGGGGCACCTGCCCAGCAAGCGTGGGTCCCAACCGTGCGGCCACAGGTGCCCAGGCAAATCTGTCACATCCCTGGAGGCCGGCTAGGTACAAGCAATTCCAGCTAACTCCTTCCTGCGCGGCGCTGGATGGCATGGGTGTGAGACGCCCTGCCAGAGGCCCTCGGCTCCTGCACGCTGTCTGGCTCACGGCAGGGGCCACCGGGAGGGCTAGCTCTGGTCATGGGTTGGCCTTTCCCTGCCAGCACTGGGCTGGCTGCTTAGCCAGCAACCACCTGAGCAGTGAGGTGTGCGCTTCTTCCTCACACCAGCCTGCGGGCCGCAGAGCTGGGATTTGAGATGTGAATTCCAAGACAAAGCCCAAACGGCTTTTATAGTATACTTTGACTCCTCCAGGACAAGCACCCACAGGCACAAACACCCTCCACCAGCACCATGTGGTCACAGTCAGCCTGCAAACCCTGTCCCACCAATGCAATCGGTGCCAGGAAACACCGCCACGCTCCGTCTGGGCAAGAGATGAGGCTGTGCTGCCGATGTCCTGTGCGCCCTCTGCCTCCAGGTCCCCTTTCTGATTCCAATCTGCACTGCCTGGGCGGTCGGGCAGGGGCGACGGCAGGACTGGAGAGGCTCGGCCCTCCTGGGGTGGCCACGTGCTCCTCGGAGGCCGCAGGCTTTCCAGGGGCCGTCCGTGACCCCTCCCCACCTGCCCCCCCTTTCTGCGGTACTCTGACACTATTACCCGCCCCGCTTCCTACGGATTAGCACCTGCAGGGAATTGTGCGCGGCTTCTCGGAGCTGTGCCCACAGCCCTGCAGCAGAGAAAGAAACGGGTCCAGCCATCAGGGGGCGCCCTGTCCCCGCATAGGCGTTGCACAGCAATGATCGATCTTTTCTCGCTCTCTCTCTCTCTCTCTCTCTCTCTCACACACACACACACACACACACACACGAGACAGCATTTCCCACCCTGTGCTGCCTCCTTGAACCCTGCTAACAGCTCAGAGATGAGAATCACGCACAGGTAGGGGCGTGGCCAGGCTGGAGTGGGGGTCCCTGCAGTTGGCCTGTAGCCCTGGCTCTGCCCCCGCTGGGGGCTCCCACGCACCCTCCCCTCCCCTTCCTCAGCCCCCCCCACTGCCCCCCTCCGCTGCGGCTGCAGGAGCATCGCCATGCCGGGATGCCTGCCGGTCTCTGTGTGCCACCCTGGTGAGGACGAGGGCGGTCCTTCTGCCCCACTGTG